AAAAAAGACAATTTTTGAGCTAGAGTGCTCATCTTCGAACTCGATCTGTCTTTTTATGATACAAAACGACCCTGAAAATCCCAGGTCGCTCTCTCAATTCTTGCTCGAGTTATCGTGCGGACAGACAGACAGACAGACAGACAAACAGACAAACATACAAACAGAATGAAACTTTTCCGGTCAGTGGAGTAATGGGCTTCGCTAATCGCTCAGCCAAATATTTTTTTTACAGTTTCCTAACAAGGGAAGGTTTTCTGGTGATACACTCAGATTTCAATAGCGCTTCAAAGTGTTGTTGTTTTCATCCCTAGATTAGGTTTTGCATTGGTTTTAGCTGCCCGTAGGGAGTTTGAAGGTCGTTTTACGCGAATTTAATGGAAAATTCGCCAAACTTTTTAGCCTGATTATCAACTTTACATGCACGTATCTCAAGAACCGTTTGAGCTACAGCGCCCAGATTTTGAGGGAAATCATAATTTAGCACGTTCTTTACTTGTAGAAAATTTGAACGAAATCGATTAGGGTCGCTAAAACGGGTCCGGAGACGGGGTTGCGACCCTAGGCCCCTTTTGGTGAACCCCATTGATTTTGTTCAAATATTTTTTATGGAAAGTACTAATTGAAAGATAATTACCTGCAAAATCTGGTCGCTGTAGCTCAAACGGTTTCGGAGATATGTGCATGCAAAGATGGCAAAAAACCGATGAATTTGTCAAATTTTTGATGAAATTCTTGTGAAATGACCCCCAAACCCCCTACGGGCAGCTAAAACCAGTGCCAATCCTAATCTAGAGGTGCAAACAACTACTCTTTAAAGCGCCTTTGAAATCTAACTGTATCACCGGAAAACCTTCCCTTGTAAGGGGTAACTCATCACAGTAGAGTCCTATGGGCGGAAATTTCGTCTGTTTGGCTCTATATTTAACCATTTAGAGGCCACAATGAGTTTTTGACGAAAATAAGCGAAACAAGCTAGGCCCACTATTCCGCCAAACCAAGTTGCCAGCTCTACTTCGCTCGACCGGCAACTCGGTTCGGCAGGGAGCGGGCCTAGCTTGGCCTGCCGGCGGCGTTTGGGACGGGTCTTCGGCCCGCCCCTTCTGATTTTTCATGCACGGAAAAAAATAAAAATAGGTTCCGTGCTAATCGATTTAGTAGGCAAATTTGGCACCCCTGCCAAAAATTTAGCTATAGGATAAAATATGTAGCTGTAGTGCTAAA